GAGAGAGGAACTGAGAATATTCTCTCTCCTTTCATTTTTGCAGTGCAGGGATCAAACCCAAGGCCTTGCACATACTAGGTAAGTGCTCTACCACTAAGCTATATGTTTAGCCCTAATTATCCTCTTAAATGTGAATGGCTTAAAAACAGATTAAAAGATTAGAGTAGATATAAAAAATAGGGCCCAACTTTATGTTATCAGTAGAAAACACACCTTAAATATAATGATACAAATACTAATTAAGGAAAAACGTTACTACTAACACCACAGAAGTCCAAAGAATCATTAGAACAATGATACACCACAAATTTGATAATTTAGAAGAAATGGGTAAATATACAGACACAATCTTACTGATTAAATTATGAAGAAATAGAGTTCTTCAACAGATCAATAATAAATAACAAGATTGAATTAATAATAAGAACTCTGTTATCCAAGAAAATCCTAGGACCAGATGGCTTCACTGCTGAAAAAAAAATTATTATTATTATACACATTCTCTATTTCCAGGATTTGTTCTAATTAGTAGAATTGTGGATACTTTTGAAGATATTGACTTTAATTTTCAATATTTATTCTTAAATTTAGAAAGAAGGAAAAATACCAGAAAATGTATAATCTGAGTTTTGAAAATGCAACCACAAGTTATCACAACTGAATTAGTTTGTAGTTTGATTAAACTGAAATATTAGCTAATTTTTGGTTTACACATACACATTATATTTTCTCTTTTTTTCTTCTGCTTTTTCCTCTTCTTCTTCTTTTTTTAAATTTTTTTTTTGAGTTGTGGATTTTGATATGTTGCCTAGGTTGTTTTGCACTCCAGAGTTCAGGCAATTTTCCTGCCTCAGATTCTTGACTAGCTGGAATTATAAGTATGTACTGCCACACATTGCAGGTTTATTATTATTATTATTATTATTATTATTATTATTATAACACTGTAGATTAAACCCATGATGGTTTAGTACTGAGCTATATCCCCAGTCCTTTATATTTTTTATTTTGGCACAGGGTCTGTGTAAGGTGCTTAGAGCCTCGCCAGTGCTAAGTTGCTGCAGCTGGTTTAGAAATTGTCATCCTCCTCCCTCAGTCTCCTGAATCACTGAGATAACAGGCCTGAACCACTGTATCTATCCAGGTTCATTATCTTAAATCACATTTAAGGGGAAGACCTTGACTTTTATAAATATTGTTATAGCCAAATTTTATCTTAAGAGATGAGTGATTTGCATTTGCTTGTTTGTTGTACCCTCATTTGGTTTTTGTTACTTTAGTTACTTCTGAGAATATATTTAATAAATTGAAAACATAAAATTTATTGACTTAGTTCCCCAACTGAAAAATCATATACATTCTAGGAAAAATTCAAAATTAGAGAAATAGAGGGAATTTTTAAACAATCATTTATATTTCCATTATTGAAATGCAATCACTGTTTGGCAAAATCTTTTTTTGATGTATTTCTCAATAGTCTCCTTTTCACAAATAGTAATGTGTTTATATCATTGTAATCATAGTTTATTATAATGTGCATGCATTGTCAATACTCCTTTGTCCTTTACTTTTAATGCATCAAGTGGATATAATATCATTAATTAATTTTTCTTTAATTAATGTACATTTTGTGAGCATTTTTAATGTTTTGGACCTGAAGTTTTTAAAATATTTTAAGATTATTTTGTTAAAGTTCTACAATTAGAAATATTGAATCAAAGAATATGAACATTTTTGGGCAGTTCTTGGTACATAATGTTGGGTTGTAATTTAAAATTTGGACTGATTTGGTGCCTTTTTCTCCTGTAGGTATACTTCAGATAATAATGTGCTGAGCTTGGAACAGAGAAAATTTTATGAAGAAAATGGATTTCTTGTTTTTAAAAATCTAGTATCTGATGCTGACATTCAACGCTTTAGGTGCAGCAATACTCTTGCTTATTTTCCAAAAAATGCGTTATGGTGATTTTGTCATTTTCAGGAAAATGCATAGAATTGGAGAACATCATGTTAAGCACAGTAAGGCCGACTCAGGGTCAAGGGTCATTGTTTTCTCTCCTGTGTGGAAACTAGAGAGACACAAGTAAAAGGAGGTCTCAAGAAAACAGAAGGGAGATCAGTAGAGAAAGATGTCCATGGGATGGAGGAAGGGAGGGAAAGGAGAGGTGCTAGGGAATGAAACTGACCAACTGATGCTCTGTGCAGGTGTGAATATATCACATGAAATCCCAACATTATGTATCATTGTAATTCATACATAAAAATTTATAAATTATGTATTACATGTATGCAATGGGATTACAAATTAGATTAGCCTCTACGTGTTCAGATACTTTTGAGTGATGTGGTTTGTTGGGATATGTTTAGGAGCATGGGATCTGGAGGTAGACTTTCTGGCCTTAATTTCAGCTTAACATGGCATGTCCCATATTGTCACCATAGTTTTCTATACATGTGTGTACTCCTCTGTAAAATGGTCGTAGTAATAACACTAATCTCCTAGCATTGTTGATAGGAGAGAAAAGGTAAAATATGTGGCATCAGGTAGGTGCTACAGGAGTATTTGCTATTACAGGCCAAGCATCACTTATCAGAAAACCAGTATCTAAACCATTGAACACCAAGATGATATCACAAGGGGAAAATTCCACACCTGGCTCATATGATGGTCATGGTCACAACACAGACACAATAAAAATATTGTATAAAATTATCTTCAAGCTGTGTGTATGAGGTATAGAGGAGACACAGAGTCATTTTGTGATGACACTTAGGTGTCATCTTTTAGATATCTCATTATTATATTTTGTTATTAAGATTATTATTATTTTTAGTGCTTGAACTTGAATCCAGGAAGTTCCATCCCCATCCCTTTGTTTATTTTATTTTGAGACAGAGTCTTGCTAAATTGAATAGGCTGTCTTTAAATTTCTATCCTGCAGCCTCACCTCCTGAGTCTCTGGGATTACAGCATGCTCCACCACAACCAGCTCATTTTGTATATGTCAACATTATAAGATCCAAAAATACCTGATGTTAGTTCTAAGTATTTTAGATAAGGGATATTCAGCCTGTATTATTACAATGGTACCAGAAAACTATGTCACCACTGGTATATTAAGCAAAGCAATATTTTCGTTTTTTTGTTTTTTGTTTTTTGGGTTTTTTTTTTGGTGGTGCTGAGGATTGAACCTAGGGCCTTGTGCATGTGAGGAAGCACTAGACCAACTGAGCTATATCCCCACCCCTCTTGCTTTTTTCATTATTGCAGGAGGCCAGGAGGCAGGACTTCTGAGTTGGCCATTTTCTCCTCCCTCTCCTAGTAGCAGAGAGAAACTGTTCCTGAATTTGTAAATCTTTTCACAGGTCAGGGCCAACCAGAGGTATGAAGCAGATGTCATGACGTTATTTATAAATTTAATTTTCTAGGGTTGCATTTGAAAAGATATGCAGCGAGGAGTCCAAACCTGTAGGACTCATTATAATAAGAGATGTGTCCTCTGTGGAATCAGAGGATATACCAAGTGAGAAAACAATTGCAAGGATTCAAGATTACCAGGAAGATAAGGAGCTCTTTAGATACTGCACTCTCCCAGAGGTTAGAGACTTGCTCTTGATTTGGTTTCTCCTTCATAGACAGCTTGCAGGTCTGCCCCAAGATCCCCTGGTTGTGCTGAATCTAACCCCTTCCTACACATGGAACACTAGAGTGGTGGGTCTCAGCTGGAGGTGTTTTTGCCTTCCAGTGGATATTGACAATGTCTCAAGACTTTCCTGGTAATGGTAACGGCATAGTGGGTGCACCAGTGGCTTCTAGTGGGTAGGGACCAAGGATCCTGATAATGGGGCCTGAGATCCCATGATGCACAGAGAAGCTCTCTTCCCAAGACTTGACCCAACCAAGATACCAATAGCACCAAGACTAAGAAATGCTTCTGTGAAGTGTGCCAATTATCTTTTTTTGGGGGGGAGGGGGCGGGCAGAAATTCTGCGTTAAATAGAAAGAGCACTTCTAAGACTCAATATCAACAGGGGTGAAATTGTGAGGCTGTAATTTGTAAATGAATTGACTTTTTAATGTATTTCATAAATTGGGTCAATTGAATAAATTTGCTTTTAAACTTAAATTAGTTTTCATTTAATTTGATTTATTTGTGGAATAAGAATTGAATTCTGGGCCACTATTTCTTTCAACTATACTCCCAACTCTTTTTACTCTTTGTTTTGAGAAAGGGTCATCCTGTGGTTGAGGCTGGCCTTGAACCTATGATTTTTCTGCTTCAGCCTCCCAATCTACTGGGATAACAGCCATGAGTCACCATGCCTTAAGTTAGTTATTTTTTCTAAAAATTTATTCTTCTTTCATAGTAATTGATATATCTAAAAGTACCCAAGCAAATCAGAAGGGCACAACATAATAAACAGTGTCTCTCTACTCAGCCCCTCTTGCTCTTGGTGCATTCTTCTGGAATTAGATCCTGCATCCTCAAGTGTGTTTGTGCACTCCCACCTTTTAGCACTGTGGTTTCCTAACCACTTGTTTAAAATGGTTTTGAAAGAGACTTCCCATACAGCAGATGTTGTCAGAGTGTTTGACTCCTGAAGACAGACTGCACAGGTAAATCACCTGTGGTATCCTGCCTAGCACTCAAGAGAGAGAGGCCCAGGGGAAATGACCTATGATGATCTGTGTTTCCCACCTCTGGTGCTGTGATGGCAATGGAAGTCTGCAGGTGGTCACAGATGAAGCCAGAGGCAACTTGTTTTGGATGAAGCACTACCATCCATGATGTTCAGATTTTCTATTTTCCTTTCTTCTCATGAGACTAGGGCTCTATGGGTATAGGGGGCTGCTTTTTTTGCAAATCTTGGTCCCTGTACTGGCCATTATTCTGCCTTGTTCATTAACCTCAGGGAAGAGAATCGGGGAATGGCCAGACTTATTGGATAATACTCCATGCTTTCTCAGAAAAGTTCCTGTTAGAGTCTGTAAACAAGTCTGGATGGTGCCTGGCAAATGTTGGAGTCTGTAAACAAGTCTGGATGGCGCCTGGCATATTGCCAGAGGGAGTGGTTTGTGAAGTAACGCCAGCAAGCCATTAAGTATGGAGATTCCTTATTGGTTGACTGATGTATCTAGTTTATGCTAATTAAGATAAGCTGTGTGGAATGTATAAATACCACTCCACTCCTGCTGTATCAATCTACACAAGTTGTTTGTCATGCCCTGGCTATTTTGCTGCAGCCGGCCTGCGGCAAGTTCCATTTTATTTGTAGTGTTGGAAATTCAACACTATATTTCATGATTGTGAAATACCAATTGGTATTTAAATTGTTGTCATTTTGATTCTTGTGTGGACACTTTATACCTCTTGCCTATACTTCTGATTTCCAATGAGATTGTTCTTCTTTCTTCTTCCTTTACTCAGGTTCTGAAGTATGTGGAGTGCTTCACTGGACCCAATATCATGGCCATGCACACAATGCTGATAAACAAACCTCCAGATA